TGAATCACATGACTTCTGGAAAGGGGCCATCTGATTGGTGGCAAGGGATCACATGACCAGTAAAACGGACCACAAGATTGGTGAGCAGGGGATCGTATGATACGAGTGCTACTCAATGTGAAGTTTGGTTAAAAGCATAGTATATAAAGTATCCAAATGTTGATTTTTAACAGAATGATTAATACCACACGTTCTTGGCAAGTACAGCAACAAGTTTATCCTTCCTGCCTTTGATGGAGGCTGTTTAACTCTGACCCAGTTTTCCAGCTGCTGAATAACACTTGACTCTGACATTGTTGCTGAGTCACTTAAAGTATTGGTTGCTAGGCTGTAGTTTAAAAGCTGTGATTAACACACCTCAATGTTAGTTATGTGAGCTGCTAAGACTTAGAGCTCCTTGGTTTGACTAAGACAGCTGTGGGTGGCAAAGTGTATATGCCAATGGGTCCAGCAACCTATAAGCTATTCGTGTGTGTGTTAAACATCATCTTTAGTAATTCAAGGCAAGTATTAAAAAGTACAAGATGAACTGATTAAAAACCATCGGTCAGCCCCTTAAAACAGATCAACAGTGATCAAAAATGAAAGAGAAGATAGGGAGAATGGTTTACCAGAAAGGTCCCAATTACAGTAACTACATGTAGATTTAAAAAAAGGAAACCACTGTCACAAAATAACTAACTGGGCCATCAAAACAATTCACTGGCTCATCGACATCTAGTACCCCAATGTTGATGGAGCTACTAGTGCTAACACGACTTGTCATTGAGTCATGACAGCCTGCTTGTTTGTCACAAACATCAGGAAAACAAGTTTACTGAAAGGGACACAGAAAAACAACATCTCCAGTTTCAAAACAAGTGCTGTGAATGATTTGGACATAACTGATAGAAAAGCAAGCAAAAAAGATCAATTGTATGATATTATGTATCATTGATATTTCAATGTATAATATCATTGGAAAACTTAAGATTCATTTCTCTTTATGATGATACCATATTTCTGATGATCAAGGCTGAGATATACATGTAGATGTGCCCACTTAATATATGCACTATTCTACTTTGAAGTAGCCTGGGTGCCATCTGCCATTCGAAATGGAATAGTGCATAATATTTGCATGGGAGCTGGCAATGTTAAATCTGTTTTAAAATCCAATGTCTTTACATCTAAGTATATATATATACACCCCAGGCCATATACAGAGGAATTGACCCTCTGGAAACTATTTGGAACTTGATGACATCATAGGAAACAGTCCTGGTGAGAAAAACATGTCTTTTGACCCACATTAACAGGAAAACAGGTGTGGGGCTGGTGGTGAAAACATGTTTATCCCTCTCAGCTTGAGCTGAAGATTCTGATCGACCCAGCCAGATTAATTGGATTGGGAGAATCTATCTGGAAGCTGAGTCAGCAAAAACGTCAGAGATAGCTAAGCTGTCAGCACCTTAATATGGGAGCTAGTTTAGCTTGAAAGGAACATGACAGACTATTATGAAAAAATTTTAAACTGTTCTCCAACTCATAAATTTGACTCACCGGAATTTTCGACTGAATCACTCAGACAGTCTTCCTCAGCTATCTGACCCAAATGCTGTGAACAGTTTAAATTTTTCATAATGTAATTTACCAACTCAGATGAACTTTCATGCTAACATGACAGACTGTTATCAATGGCAAAGTAACTAATCGATGCCTCTTTTTGCTTCTGACAATAACATGTTGATGATATTTTATAGAAACAGTAATTCTGACACCAACATAGTGTCCTATAGTTTAAGTTTATGTAGCTAACAGCATTCCAATTGCAGCTTATTATTAATAGGAACCATGCAGGCATTGAAATTTGGATGGCAGCCTGGCTAGGCCTGCCAAAATGTTGTAGCCTCAATTTCCCCAAGACAACTAAGGTGATAGCCCATGTTCTGACACCCCTATGTTCTGACTTCCCCACATAATGTTAGGCCAGTCAGGGTTAAGGGTGTGGAAATGTTCAGTTGTATAAAATACTAAGTGTAACTTGCATGCAGCAGAAAAGTCCCTCCCTCACTTTGCCAATAGTACTGCCCAACATCTGACTGATCTAAAACACAAATCACTGCTTTTCCAAACCCTGCCATGAAAGAGTCTAACAGTTAGAGCACTGAATACATCTGTTGTCAGGAGGAAGAGAAAAACACCACAGCTATGCAGGCTTACATCATCCCTCAGTAACATGGAAAACATCAGCAAAGAAGCTGTAGATTTTTAATATAGCATCTGTACTCCCTCCAAAATGCTTGAGCGTAGTGGCTGTTTCTATGCATCCTACCAAATTTACGCTTATAATTAGCTGGCAGACTTATAAAGATTTAATGTGATTTACATCAAGTGAAAGAAGAAAAATAGATTATCATTTGAAATGTTGATTGAGGGGGATACAAGGGAATTTTAAGAGGGAGTGAGAACGGCTACTGAAACAGCCAGATCAGCTGGAGTTCAGAAGAAGGCGTTGTCCCCAGGAGGGCCCGTGATTGGTCAGATGCTGGGGGTATTGCATCATCACCTTGGCAACAGCAGGCCTGGGCAGCGTGCTGTTTATTTTTGGTACTTCTGCCCAGCGATGACTCCTGACCCCGTGGCAACTGTTGCCATGGACCTGTCTTAATACAGACGTGTCCATATTAGGAACTGCTCTAATCTTGCCTGATCAGCTGAAAGGTTAGAAAGAACAATACGCCTGCCTGTCCGCTGAAATATGGGGAACAAATGCACGATAAGGGTACTACCTGGGTCAATGTGGGGCATTGAACTCACTGTGATTTTAAAACCTATACAGTCCAACCTGCTACTTGTATGTATCCAGAACTGTGTCTCTAGGCAGTAGTTCTATATAATCCCTGAATGGGTTTATAGGGTTAGGATCGTATGCAATACCGTGTCTATCTAGCTCTATGCCTGAATATGCGAGGGTTAGGATCAGGCACGGTTCTGGATAGTCTCTATTGTATCCAGAATTGTGCCTGTCTAGTTCTATGTCTGAATGTGTGAGGGTTAGGATCAGGCACGGTTCTGGATTAGTCTCTATTGTATCCAGAATTGTGCCTGTCTTGTTCTATGCCTGAATGGGTTAGGGTTAGGATCAGGCACGGTTCTGGATGGTCTCTATTGTATCCAGAACCGTGCCTATCTAGTTCTATGCCTGAATAGGTTAGGGTTAGGCTTGGTCTCCGTATATCCAAGAACGAAGATTTGCCCAAGGCACGGTTGTGGATAGAACACCTGTCCATAGTGACACCTCAAGGAACTTTAAGAAAATCATCACAGTTGACAGGTGGCCACTAAAGACAGCCTTAAAGTTAAGAGTTTTGAAAATAGTAGGGGAAAAATTATCTAAAGGGACCAGCAAAAAGTGGCCACAATGGCAGGTCATGTAGTAGCTGCACCTAATCGCACTACACAATGACTTACTTGTACATGTACAAGGAGGCTATCATTGTACAGGGCAATTGGCATGGAATATACTTGTTTGAAAACCATGCACTGTCCACAAAAATAAGGACAATGATAATTGCAAGCTTGAACATGTTTGAAATTTCCTAGGCTCAAAGTACACTTTGCTCTGAGCACCTCACTAAACATTGTACCAATGATAAGCTTGACAGGATCAATATCAGTAGCGACAGCCTTTCTGTGGGTAAAGGAGACCTCTAGCAAGAATAGCAAGAACTGCAGTTTTGCAAACAGGTAGTGCAAGATGTTTAACTTCGAACTTGCAAGGGTTTACCCTCAAGTAACTCATGCATACGTAGTGAAGAACCAGCCAGTAGGCTTCTACTCTGGAACCCTGATACCTGTAAGAGAAGAGTTGGACGCCCAAACATAACAGTTAAGAAACTTATTGAAACTGAAACTGGCTTGGAGGGACATGAACTTTTCTCAGTGATGTATGACAGACAGTTGTGGCGAACTAACTTTGTATGCTCCACCTCTGCGGAGGATGAAGGATGATGATGATGAACTCATGCATGCAGGTAAAATACAGATGAAATCTTAACAATGAACAGGTTGACAGAACAATTTATTATATTTATTTATCTGTGATGATTATAATGTTATAACAAATGCACACAAAAAATTATACCTTTACAACTTATAAGAATTGTTCTTTGAAATACATAAAGTTGGTTAGTTGCAGTTCAAATCTTCAGAATTACTATATACTGCTTAACCTTTCAAAAATGACAATAGAACTCTTTGGTCCCTTCAGTTTTACCAGGTTCAAGCTTAAGCAGCGTTTTTGTGGAGCTAAAATGCTATTCATGTAATATATCATTTGTACAACCACCTTTTTACACTACAATTGCATAGTACTATCATACAAAAAATGAGTACAAGTTCCTTTCAATACTAGAAAAATACATCCAACAAATGTCAAGAAGAATGACTTTTTGGAATGTTGGTGACAGTTAGACATTCAGGTAGAACTTTATGTAGTAAGTACAAAATATATCAAGAAACTGGATGAATCAGACATTTCAGATAGCATCCACTATGATCTTAATGCTCACTCATATGACAGGTAGACAATGCTATCTGAAACATGCGACTCCAGTTGCTTGCTTTATTTTGAATCATCACTTGTGGAGCTTTCGTAGTCACCTCTACTAGCGGGCTGGAGGGGGGGGGGTCAGTTCCTGGTGTCACGTTGTTGGGGGGGGGGGCTGTCTCATAGAGGGTCTTCCCTAGTCCGCAGCCTCCGCCACTAGAAACACAAGGAAAACATGGCTTAGTATGTACTACGTTGGCATTTAATGTTACAGTATCTATATCATAGTATATGGTTTGGTTAGTCTATCATGCTTCTTTCACCAGGCTAGCTTGCTTAATACACTAATACAAAAACAATACATGCACAGAGCAGGTTGGATATAACAGTTAACATCTGTATTGCACAACCACTAAAAGTTCTACATCATGTTAAAACACCAGTTTTGTTTCTGACATCACAAGAATGCTCAAGGAAAGACAAGGTACTTACGTCCTGGGATGTTAACCTTGTTGGACCTAAGGACGTCACACTGGATGGCATCCATAGCGGAGTACAGGCTGTCTGGGTTCGACTGGGGACACAAAAAGGTTAAATCAGAGATGGCAAATTTCACCCCCTTATTAATAATACTTTGCAGCCCTTCCAGTCCAATTGACAAATACTAGTATAGCATAGGATGTATGGCAATACAACATTTTGTATATTGGGAACAGCTGGCAGACAGAAACAAGTTCTCTTGTAGTGAAGTATAAATCGCAAGAAACATCGATCACCTTGGAATCATTCACTTCCAAATTTCAAGGAATTTTTCCACAGATTTTTAAATGTTCAGGAGTTGAGAGCCTAAGAGATAGGATCAGGCATCCTACGAGATACAATGTAATCATTCCTTAAATGTAGAATTATAGAAGAAAAGAAAGGAAAGCACATCTCTACCCACCATGAACATGATGTAGAGGTTTTCCCCCATGGCGTCTCTGCAGGTCTCATTCACAATGGGGAAGGTTCTGCACAGGTACTGAGGGAGGGGAAACACGGCACAGAAGAAGTTAGCCTCAAGAACTGTCAAAATGGTGCCTACAGTCTTAGACATTCATTTCTAAGGAGCTGTTGTACAGTGAAAGAAGTGCATTTTTTTTCTTGCCAGTAAACATGAAAAGAAAAAGACAACACAAAGAAGATTAATCTCAAAATCTATCTTAGATTTTGATTTCTAGGGAGTTTGATAGCTTCAAGTTTCATGCATGAGAGAAGTTCTTGTTTACGACTATGAGACAGGGTCACTAACCACTATACTACAGACCTACCATGTCATTACCTACCTAGGGCTCGAAATTCATTTTTGGGTATACATGCACTGGTGCACCCAACCTAAAAAAATTGTGTGCACAAAAATTATTTTGGGTGCACCATTCAACAAATACTAGTAAGTAGAATATCTGCAAAAACTAATAAGGTTTCATTTCTAAAGAAAAGTACTATAACAATGATTTTATTGTCTTTCTGACACTATATATTAAATATCTTTACATACTACAAAAATATTTGGGTGCACTGGTGCATCCACAGCTCCAAATTTGGGTGCACAAAGGTGCACATACACCCAGTATTTCCAGCCCTGCTACCCTACATATACTAGTACTCACCTCCAGTGTAACGCTGCCTTGCCTCTGGCTGTCGGCATGGGCGGAGTTCCCCATAGCAACCATCAGGTTATGCACAACTCTCATCTGTACACAACATTGGGGGGGAAATGGCACAAGTTTAGCACATCCAACAAACAAAGCTAAATATCCACATAAACATACACTCTATGGTATGAGATAGTTTGACTTATTTGGAAGGCAGTCAGCACCAAGGACAGGGAATGTACTCTTTGAATCTTTTCCTCTAAGAAATACATTAGGTCAATATCTGTATAATAACATAATGTACATTGTTAATAGCACAAAGGGAAGGCATTCAGCACCAAGGCCAGAGAATGTAGTGTTATAGGTGGAAGGTTAGAGATTCATATATTGGCCACTTAAAGTTATCAACTGTGCTAAAAATTTAGAACCTCTACCATATACTACTATATTGTAATTCAAATGGATGGCAGTCAGCACTAAGGACAGGGAATGTGGTGTTATATGTAGAGAGATAGAGCTTCATACACGTACTGACCACTTTAAGTAAGGAATGGCACTGAAAGTTTAGAACATTTAACCTATAATACTGTTTAGTAATGTAAGGGAAGGAAGTCAGCACCAAGGACAGGGAATGTAGTGTTGTGTAGTGCTTATGCTATATGTAGGGTGAGTGGAGCAATAGGTTTCAATGACTACCAGACTCCCACACTCTCACCTGTATCAGCTTGTCTGCTGTTTCATTCGACTCCCTGCACAGAACTCTGCAAAATAACAAAAATCAATGATTGACCTTAATGCACATATACAGAAGCTGGTGTATGCTGATTCATGGGTGCTATAAAATACAGATATAGACCGTACATGTTTAGAGTTAAAACTTTAGATCCAACACAAAACGTTCTCTCACCTAGAGCTTTGGTACCAGATACCTTTGACCCAGTGTTGACGTCACATTTCAAAGAAGCCACATAACAAGCCTCACTGGGTAAGTCTACTGAGGAAGACCAGAGAGACTGGTCGAAAGCTCTAAGTGAGATAACTTTTTGTGTTAGATCAAAAGTTTTAACTCTAAACATGTATCTGCCAACACAGATGAAATTTCATGATAGTATAGACTGTACATGGTTGGTTCTTACCCGAGAGTCTTGGCGGCTGCTGCTTGTTGTACATAAACAGGGAGGGGGGCAGACATCTTCTCCACATCTGTGTCTGGGGAACAGTAATGTACTTATTTTAATACTAAGTATTTTAGTATTAACAGTTTAGTATTTTAGTATTAAGTATTACACTTAGGTAGAAGAACAAAAACACTGCTGGCATACACACAATATGGTCTAGTAACCAGCAAAATAGATGATAGAAAATAAAGGACTCATCTTGGGGCTTGTTTCCGCAGTTTTAAATGCCCAAAGTATGAAATCAAATCAAATATCAAATGTGCTAATGTGGGGCATTGTGTGTCAATATCACAAAGATAGCCTTATTGAGAATATTTCCAGTTTTGCTGCGTTAAATCGCATTGGATGCCTTTAAAACAGTCAAACCTGCCCAAGAAGTCAATGCACATTTTAACAATAAAATGTAGATTATTGCACTGCTGTATTACCAGTAGTAAGACAAACTACAGTTGGACATCCTGAGAAAACTGTACCTTCTAAGATCTGAGGTCTCCTGACCGTCTCGTCTAACGTCGCCTTCAGAAGTTCCACCAGACGTTTGAGGATCAGCTTCTGTATCTCGTAAGACATCAGGTCCTTTATCAGCTCAATAGCTGCGGGATTGAGAAACACTTGTAAGGTTATAGTTGTAAAGACACAAGAAACTATAAGCATAGTTCTCACTACGCTGTTTGAGCATAGGGGCCCCCTACACTGTGGTAGGGACCCCCTACGCTATGATTTAGCCCCCTTCACTGTCTTTCAACCAGCATAGGGGTGTTTTTTGAGGGGGAGAACCTTCTGACTCTTCATAAAAATTTGACTTAAGAATGAAGCTACAACAGAGAAAAACATTAACTTTACAAATATATGTCCCTACATAAGCAGGAAAGAGTGTCTCAGGGGTTTTCGATTTTTTGAAGAGGATACCAGAGTCCTGCTGTAGCCTTGTTTTTGCTCAGTCTGCACAGCAGAATGTTGTCCTTCTGTACCTGACTCCTACGCTGTGAAAAAATCCTTGTGAGAACCCTGTATATGGTATCCCTAACACATATCTAAGATCAGCAAAATTGTGCAGTGACAGATTCATTTGTGTTGTCAAAATCCACTGGTTTATGGATACAAATTTAAAAGTACATCATGTACACTTAGTGTATAAGTGTCAATTTTACCAGCATAATTACACTGCAATAATCTGGTAGATAAATTCAGAATGATGCTAGAAAATAAATTACAAAGTAAACTAACCCAGATTCCATGATTTGTCAGTTGAGTAATTACTAATATCACACATTCAAGGGAACATAATAGATTCTATCATACTATATTTGACCAACTTGGATCCAGAGTAGACAGGGTAAGGGCGCCCCCTAGCACTTACCTTCATACTGCACCTCCAGATGCAGGGTCCTGAGCAGACCCAGTAGCGGCTCCACGATGTTGGGGTTGGCTTCTGCCACGATGGGCTGTAGGGGGGGGGGGGATAAAGTATGTTTCTGTCATTTCATACTCAGTGGAAAGAGAAGACAGTCAGCACCAAGGACAGGGTCATACTGACATGAAGCTGTCTTGTTTGGAAACAACGTTAAAAAAACAGAAAACAGAAGGCACCCTCCTTGTGATCACTATGAAACACTAGTGGAGATCTGAATAGAACAAACAAAATATTGTACTATACTGCATAATGCATGAAACAGTGAGATATACTATAAAGTATAATCTAAAGAAAAGGCAGTCAGCACCAAGGACAAGGGAAAAGTTGCCCTGTCATGAAACAAACCATTGCCAGCAATGTAAAGAAAAAAATGAGGCAAAAAGCGAGCCCCATCTAACCTGTACTATACTAAGAGTTTGACAGAGAAAGAGATGTACTATTATCAAAAGGGAAGGCAGTCAGCACCAAGGACAGAGGAAAAAGTTGTTCTGTCATGAAACAAACCGATACCATCCCAGAAGAAAAATCTAGACAAGCAAGTCCCATCTCACCTGTCCTATTCTGAGAGATTCTGTCCAGAAACGAGGTAATAAAGAGGAAAGACACCCTCATCACACCTTGTGACCACTACATGAAACATTGGTGGAGATCTGAATAAAACTAGAAAGGCCGACATTTGCTTGGGAGCAAATACAGCATATTTCAGTCCATCTCCCTCCCACGCAAAAGTGGACTATTCCAAACTTACCCCAGTGCAAAACTGGCAAAGGTTCTCAAATAAATGAATTAAATAGTAGCTATGTAATTGAGAACAAAGATGCAACAAGTACTTTGAATCTCGAAGTCGAAAGCTTTACTAATCTTATTACAGGTATGCAAAAACTAACAATGATGAGATTTGATACATTTTGAAGGTCTTACTCTCTTAGGCACATAAAATTGAATTTGTGGGTCATTACGCACCACTTAGTGCAATGTGACCTCAGGTAACCCGCAATGGAACACGTGTTCCATGGATGGAACCGGCCATTCTTTAGATAGAACATGGAACGGGTACAGCACTTTTGGCCCTTTTTTTGCTGAAAATAGCCATTAAAGTCTCCCAAATGAGTCATTTGGAAGTGGTGTATGCCAAATAAATGACTGCTATTCTGTAGACACACGTTCAAGGTACCCTTATACCGAATGTCATATCATTTGGTTGTAATACCAGGGCTCAGGATCCAAAAATCCATTTTTTGTCGAAAAATGCCCCAAAAAACCTTCATCAAAATTTTTCAAAGGCATGTTTCAAAAAAATGAAAAAAACGTCTGGAGGTATTTGCCCACTCTACCTCCATGCCAAATTTCAAGTCATTTGGCTGAATGATGGCGGAGTTGAATCCCTTTGGCTGTTCGGCAGGAGGAGGAGGAGGAGAAGGAGGAGGAGGAGAAACATGAGGGAACACAATATATTTCATCCATACATGGTATGGACTGAAATATAACAAACAAACAAACCTGTACTATCCTGAGAGTCTGTGCTGCCATCTGCTGAGCTTTAGGCGAGGAGGCAGGCAGCAGAGCGATCAGGCCCTTGTACACCTGGACCTCATACTTAGGGTTGCCCTGAGCTAGCATCTGTAGCAGTTGTCTGCACTGTTCCTGTGTTTCCTCTGACTTAGCGCGGGCTAGACACTCTGCAACTGCTCGGATACCTGCAGGAATGAGGGAATGAATGAACAGAAGAGTGCAGTTGCCATGTGCTACATGTAGCATATGCAGAGCGAGCTAGACAATATGCAACATCCCTGATACCCAGGGGAGTTATGGAATGAATGAATAAATAAATGAGAATGAATGAATGAAGGAACCAACAAAGCTTGACTTAAACATTATCTTTGTTGTATTTTCCTATGTGTATGTCTTCCCTCATGAAAGAAAGAATGAAAGTAGCCACCATGCCAATTTGAGTTTCTCAAAACAGAGGCACAAGCAGAGACACAAACTAGAAAGGTAACATTTGCATAATGTTTACCTTCACATGATCTAGCATAACCAGCTACTGCTCTGTTTATTCTTACTTAAATATGTGTTTGAGTGACTAGGACCTTGACAGAGATGACTGGAAGGATGTCATGTAAGGTACCTCTAAGGAGGATGAACTAAACCAATGTACATTGTATTTTGTGAAGGTAAACGTAATGAACTTAACACAACTTTCCCCACTGCACTCAAGTGAAAATGAGTATTGTATGTCTTGTATTTGTTTTTATGTGTGGGACACAACAGTAACAGCTGCCTGTGTCCCACATGTATTGTACTGTTGCAATTTCAATAAATCAAATCAAATCAAACAAACCCACCGTAGCTCTCACAGATGAGTTCCTTGTACTTCCTGCCAGCGTTACAGATGGTCTGCAGCAGCTTAAGAGCCTCCGCCTTGTCAGCCTCCTTAGCCTGCTTCAAACCCAGGATCTCAAGAACCGTCAAGACTCCGCCCACCTCAAGGAACTCTCCAAGGTACTTGTGACTTAAGGAGAAGAAATGAAGAACTTAGTTTTAGAAGGTTCTTAGAATTTTGTGAATTCTACAGTGTGAATACTGTATGGTTATGTGCTAATGATAATAATGGTTATCCTATCCACAAGCACACCGCTATGAAACACACTATTTGGGCAAATGATTAATGTAATAATGTACAGGGGAAGGCAGTCAGCACCAAGGACAGTGAACGTAGTGTTATGGCCCAGGATCTCAAGAACTGTTAACACTCCGCCCACCTCAAGGAACTCTCCAAGGTACTTGTGACTTTTAAGAAAAAGAAATGGACAACTTATAGGGTACTCACTTTGAGTTATTGTGAATTCTATAGTGTGAATACTGTGAAATGATAAAGCTATGATTACACTCTGTAAGCAAGTTAGTCTGGCACCTGCTTAGTGTAATAATGTGTAGAGAAGGCAGTCAGCACCAAGGACAGGGCATGTCATGTTATGTGTGGAGGGTTAGACCGTGTTAACGTTATACTGACCACTATTAGTTGGGAATAGCACTGAAAATTTAGAATCTCCAACATGCAGTCATGTATGCCATTGTATAATAATGTGTAGAGAAGGTAGTCAGCACCAAGGACAGGGAATGTAGTGTTATGTGTGGAGAGTTAGAGCTTCATAAAGTTACCACTTTTACCTGGGAACAGCACTGAAAATTTAAAATCTGTATATCATATACTACTGTATAACAATGTAAAGGGAAGGCAGTCAGCACCAAGGACAGGGTATGTAGTGTGTGGAGGGTTAGAGCTTTCCTGTACGTATATATAGTTGTTATATTTTTTTTCTAATCAGTGCAAAATGAACCTGGTGTTAACATCGTAATATCGATGATTTTTGGCTCAATATAATGTCACATATATAATTCACCTCACGTGATTACATTATAAATAATACATGGTACATAATTGTATGAAACAAACAATTAAAGTAAGTAGAAAAGTGTCTAAGAGGAGTTCAGCAGGAATCTGTTTACTGCAGTCTTGAACTTAGTAATGTTAGGACTGTTGTGTTATATATGTTATGTATGTATACATGTTATATGTGATGTATGTTTTGCAGGGCCCCAAATGTAAAGCAGTGCTGTGACACTGAGATGAGCCAGACAAGGTAAACAAAAACAAACAAACAAACAAGACTTACCCACTAGGTGCTGACAGGAAGATCTGTATGGCCTGGAGTTGCTGGTTCACACACGTGCCTAACATGTAACTGTACAGGGGAGTCAAGGGAAATGACTAAGATTGTCTGACACATGAAATATAGCAAGTGTTATCTTACAAGTAAACTCTCAGAGAATGTATCCATTTGCTGGATTTGTTTCACATAATGTAAGGTGGATGTCTAACCTTCATCAATGTATAATGGTTGACATTGATGCACAACGTTATACTTTTGTCTTAGCCAAGATTAACTAGATTAACTAGCATAACGATTGCAGACTCACTGCATGTAATTTTCATTGTTACCTGTACGAGTGTACTAGTAGGTGTGCAAATAATTTTGAGCCCTAAACAGCCCTATCTGCATTTTTTGAGAGGAAAAAATCAGAGATAACTTTTTATTTAATGACAAATTAGGTAGTTTATATACGATTCCAGCCCTACTGGTGATATGAATCAGTCCATCTAAAGAAAAATCTTGGACCTTTAGATAAAATGTGGACCAAAAAGTGGACTTTTGAGCCTTGTGGGTGGGTTCTTCCGAACCCCCCCTGGCTATGGGCATGGCACCTATCCTAACCAGAAGGATACGTGAGCCTGATCCAGGCGGTGAGCCGTGTGAGGAAGAGGCTGGCGGCCTGCGCGAACTCCAGCTCCAGTTCCGGCGCCGTCTTGCCCTGGTTGTTGGCGATGAACTCCTCCAGGATCCGCCCGCGCGTCGTCTTGTTCCCCTTGTCCCACTCCTGGAGAAGCCCAAAGACTCGGTTGATGGCCGCGTCCGTCTTGGCGTTACCGCTCGTCATCCTGACACCTGTCAACCAGTAGAATTTGGGAGCATCATTTGGAGTCCAAAAACAAAGAGGGATCAGGACTCTCTGGAGAGACTGCAGCGTAGGGCAACAAGCCTCGTGCAGGTGAATATTCAGGTGAATATAATAGAAGTCTAACCTGTCAATCAAGTGTCAGCTTTTGAACAGAAGGTGAGACTTCAGCACTGAGACTTTTGTATGGCTATGGTTGTATCCATAACCCTGCTTTTGTTAGGCACGGTTCTGGATAGCCGTGGTGACTGTTGCAGCACTTCTCTTGCTTGCAGTCTTTTACATTAGCCCTAACAACATGCATATGTAAAAGGCTGCAAGCAAGAGAGAAGCCCTGCAACATACGCAGAACCGTTCCTGATCCTAACCCTAACCCATTCGGGCACAGGACTAGATAGGCTCTGTTCTGGATAACCTAAAATTTTGAATGGAGTGGATTATCAAAATAGTATGGCAACGTTATAAAATCAAAGCAATTTTTGTAGACTTGGCAGGAACGTTTTTAAAGCAAAATCGGCGCATCAGAAACCGTAATTGTGAGGTAAACTTACCTTTACACTCTTTTTGGTGGTTTGCCCGACAAAATCGTCACAAGAAGTACTAAATCGGAGGCAAAAAACGTTAAATTTCAGAGTGAATTGTACTTTCCGTGTGGTTGTTTACATGTTGCTACCGAAACGCTTTCAGAGGTCATAGGTTAGTAGCCCGCATCAAAATGCAAAGCAATATGCACAGTATTTGATACCACTAGGAGCTTTTGTTCGCTAAGCAACTTTGTATTATGTGTTATGTTTCTGCAAGTGGTATATGTATGTTTGATGTATCATAACTATATGGTGTCCATGTTTTAACTTTAGTTTTAAAGAAAGTGAACTTTTCACTTTTATGTTTTGCAGTGGTTCATACCAAGAAGAAACGATTATCATATGGGGTGTTCTGTCTTGAAATGGGCTTCCAAGAAAACGTCATTTCTGATATAATTGTCCACAAAAGAATTGATAAAAGATATAAATGTATGAATAATACATAAATTTATGGTGTATTTGCAACATCTTTACCGATAAATTTCTGCTAAGAATTTTATGGTACACCCCTTTCTTGTGACCGACGTGCGCCGTTCCACCTCCAGACGCCACACAAAGCAGCATCATGGCGGACGAAGACTTGGAGTACGATATCTCCTTCCCTCCGGCCGCTGTTTCAGGTACAGTTCACAAAACCACCTCATCAAACCACTCAAAACTGTGCGCTACATTCCGTACCAAGTAAGAAGCGAGTAAATTCTAGGCTGGGACCGTTTTCTTGGCGAGAAAGCGGCGGTTTTAGAGCGTGCACCTGTTCAGGGGAGAGGTCGCGCCACCCCCGCCCACCTGTCTGACACCTGCCGATATTTATACCGTTACCTGTCCACTACGTCACTGGACTGGGTCAGGGGGACACTTTTTACCTCAAGCTTTCCTATTAAACCATCAAACCTGCTGTAGAGCTAACTGAGTGTAATTTCGTACGAAGTTTTTTGCTTTGCGAACATTTATATTGTGCAATACTTTGATTTTCTCATTTGCCGCCTCGTAGGGTGTTTTTGACCTGTATTTTACTGTATTTGTAAAGCAATAATTGATTCGTCTCTTAACATGGAATATTGTCCGATGAATCAAATGTGGACTAGTTGTAGGTGGTAGAAGTCATTCTATGTTGTTGTCGTTGTCCTTGCTTACATCGAGCCAAGATTTTAGACCTCCTTGCTCACATCTATTACTAGTATTTCACTAGACATATGTTTCACTTGGTTCAGGTCTGCATCAATGTTCTCTTGCAGTTTTTAACAGTTGACAATTTACATCAGCTAGCAAACTGCATAACACACATGTTTGTTTGTTTGTTTACTACAGATGATGAGAAAGAGCCGGTGGTGATACTGCTGGGCTGGGCCGGGTGCAAGGAGAACCACCTGGCCAAGTACAGCTCCATCCACGAACAGCAGGGCTGCATCACCATCAGATACATCATGCCAACGTACGATCCCTCAGTCATTCTCCTTTCTTCTTCTTACTGGAACTAAAGCTAAAGGAATCTACACTACTCTACTCTACTCTACTCATAATATAATATAGGTGTTCATTTGATAACGTAAACTAGCCCAAGTCAACCTAAAATAGCCCTATCAGTTGCAACTCATCTTATGCCTACACCACGCCAATCGCGAGTGACTACCAGTCCAGAACTAAAGACCTTGACTGTCGGTGCAGGTACAATATGGCCCTGCGGGTGGTTGTACACTCCATTGTACATGAAAAAAAGAAAATCTTAAGTAGTCTTTGAAGTCGTGGCTTCCTCCAGTACATCTGTCAAACATCAAAAGCATGTGACAAAGCCACCCCACCCTGTTTGACGATTATGAGTCTAGCTCGACAGGTTATCAGGAAGCACATGATTATTGTATGAATATTTTATTCTATATTGATTCTCATAAACTTGTAGGTGTGGTTGGTGATACATACCCGCCCTGTTTGATGACTAGTTGTTTCGCATGAAAAGTTACAGGAAGCACAAGTATAAATATTTAACTCTGCTTTAATTCTCCCGAACATGTAGGTGTGGTTTGTGATCATATTTACTGGTCCCCTGAGTCATGCTGTAAACATACAGTGAGAAGTTGATGTGTCAGGCTTTCAACATTTTTGTCCATAAAGTGACCCGATCTCTAGTGGGTCGGTTGGGAAACAGAGAACACAACTTTTTTTCCTAGGCCTTAAGATGTTCTTGTGTATTGCATCCTTGCTTACACTGTTCCTTAAATCTCCAGGTACGACATCTTCTTCCACACCTACAAGGCCAAGACGGTGGCGTACAAGGTCCTGGAACTCATCTTCGACCTTAACCTGGAGGATCACCCCATCTTCTTCCACGTGTTCAGCAACGGCGGCGGGTTCATCTACCGCCACCTGACGGAAATGGTTGCCAGCCAGCGCGGCGGGCAGGTCGGCGCTCTGCAGATTGTCGGCTGCATCTTCGACAGCTGCCCTAGTCGCCGCTCGCTCGTGGTCGGCATGAAGGCCCTCCTAACCTCCATGAGCCACGAACCCTTCCTGAAAAGATACTCGGTGACGTTTTTCTTCGGGATGATGGTGATTTTCAACACGCTCCGTGCGTGGGTGTCCTGGCTGATCCCGTTTGGTTTCCTGCGCGGGGAGGACGATTATTACACGGCCATGAAGAAGGACCCGTCGCGCTGGCCGCAGCTGTTCCTGTACTCCCACGCTGACAAGGTCGTGCCCTTCAGACAGGTGGAGGAGGTTTACGAGGAGAGGAAGAAGCTGGGTGTTCACGTGCTCGCGGTGGCGTTCGAGAAATCTCCGCACGTGACGCACCTGGTGCACTATCGCGACCTCTACATGCACCACTGCAACGCGTTCGTCAAGTCATGTACAATGACGGGCTTCATCCGCTGAGTTTGTGTGTTATTACTGGGGGTTTCTTGTTCAATGTTTAGTCAGGCTTGTACAGTGTAAGATAATGTTGTACCTGCAAAATGGTTTGTTAAGGTCACACCAATCTGTTTCCATCATAACTGACTTTTCTATTTGATGAAAGTCGAGACATACAAGGCAACAATATTCAAAGACAATTCAAACTCTACTACTGGATAGTTATGAAGATTACTTCTAGATATTTCGAGTGACACTATTCTAGTAATGTCTACTCTTCTTCATTGTCATTAAAATGAACTGACAGAACTAGTCAAAACGGTTAAACAAGTCCTTGTTCATTTGATAAGTGTTGACTGGTTCTGTCAGTTCATTTTAGTAACGCTGAAGAAGAATGGAGGATGACATGAAACAATCTCCATGATTATCCAGTAGTAGAGTTTGAACTGTCTTTGAATATTTGTGTGGGGGTTTCTTGTTCAATGTTGAGTCAGGCTTGTACAGTGTAAGATAATGTTGTACCTGCTAAATGGTTTGTTACGGTCACACCCATCTGTTTCCATATTGTCAAATTTCTTAGATTTTACTTTAACCTTCGGCCTGCTAAGGTAGCCATTTGGTACCAAATTTGTACCAGTTATGGGGTTAGGCAGCAGGGAGAAGGTTAACAGATTGTCAGAAAAGCATGGAAACAAATTGGTGTGGCCTAAAATCCAGACAATCCTGTTTTCAACCTGTGTAACAAATTTCTGTCCATTTCTGTTTGTGTTTCCAGTCAACCATCAATATGAAATTTTGCATGAAGACTTCTTCAGTCAATCTGGTTTATGTTCATGTTAATCCTTTTGACATTAGCCAGTGGATCTGATGTTCAGTGTAGGATTAGGCCATACCAGGATAAGCCCGGTTAATCCTGTTTTCAACATAAAGGCTTATCATCCATCTCTATATCCATTGTGATGATTTTCATGATGACAGGTTTCATCCGCTAATCTGTGTTATGTGTGGAATCATAATAGACAGTACAATCATAATAGAATGTACAATACTGTAGGTTAGATCACACCATCATAATGGTTTCATAATTGTTATGAACAGTTGATATTGTATCCTCATTATTAAATATGCAACATGTAGAATACTTGTCAATGAGCAAAACTTAGAAACTACTTTCATGTTTTTTCTTTGCATACTGCACACAGTTACGTGTTTTACAGCATATTTTTTCAGTACTTACATCTCGCACAATTTTTTTATTTGTTGGTACAAAACATTTATTTTGGTGTCTAGAACGTGTATTTTTGGTTGCCAGTTTCTGCGAATATTAGCCAGATATCATATAAGGCAATATTGTGTATTTTGTGTGCTCCTATCAGTGAAAAAAATGTGAAGTCCTGCCAATTTTGTTAAATAACTAGTAAAAGTAGCAGTGTAAGGTTGTTTGGGACCATGTAACATGTATGTACATGTATGTAATACTATGTGTTTTATTCAGGCCAAAAACAAGAGGTCAAAATGAGAACAATAGACTTGGAAAGAAAATCTTGAATCTGACCAAACTAAGGTTTTGATGTTTAAACCTCCTTGATCTGACTATATTCAGTTTCTGAAACTCAATACATATCTATACCAAGGTACAGACTTTCCACTTAGATTCAGTTCAGCATGATATTTGAATCCATGGTTCAGGAAATGATAGATCCAGGCTATACAGCCTGTGACATTGTCAATGAAAGTTTATGGCCTGTGAATGAGCACGTCAGCAGAACGTACTGCACCTGCGCAAAAACCGTAATGTATTGTACATAGCACTTCGGCAGAACGTCTCATGTAAGGTTGTATTTGTTCATATAAGGTTGCCATTCTGACAGTAGTTTCCAAATGTTATGTCTGAAAAGATATCTGCAACAGGCAGAATTCTGATGCAACGTTGACCAAAAATCCAACAAAAACTGTGAAATTCCAGGTTCTGCGCAGGCGCAGTACGTTCTGTCGACGTGCTCTGTGAATGCAGGTTGTTGACACCATGTAAGGCCAACCCTGATAGCCAATGTTCATGATCACTTTGAATTCACAGTTCATTTATCAAACACAAATAGCCTTTATGGCTGTGAATATTACCTTTTTATGTGTGCGTCTTGTGAAATCTATTGTGAGGATTCAATTCTTACGATATGTACAGGATTTTCAGGTGAAGGTCGTTTTGTTTTTGCAGCAAATGTGTGGTTTTGGCTCCATGTTCAAGCCTAAATTTGACTGGTGCATACATGTATGTGTCTACAATATTGACACTTTACCATACAATACATGTAAATCTGGTGAAAATGCACCACTAGGAAAAGTACATGAAACATTCAAAACAAGCTAAAATCACACATCTGTATGAATTATGAAGCAAAATCAACCTTTTTATGTTTTCTCCAGCTACCATCACCATCAAAACTGCAGGTGTTGACAACTTGAATGTATGCATGTTTTTCCAGTATAACATCATTTTCTGTACAGGTTACATATACTATAATTATTTCATCCAGACCAAGCCATCAGGCCAGTTTAGTTGATACAAACGTGATGTTATTCATGTGGTATGTGGTTAGCAATAACATGTTGTCAAACATACATAACATCTGTGTCCATAATATCACCAGGGTCCATAATATTGCCACCTTGAGAAATAGTGTGCTTAAAGATATTTTTACTGCAACATACTTTTGGTATGCACTCCTTCACACATCAAATGTACATACCTAGGGTATGTTGCAGTAAAAATATCTGTAAACACACTATTTCTCAAGGTGGCGATATTATGGACCCTGGTGATATTATGAACACAGATGTTAACAATATGAGCTTTTTTTTCCATTCTCTATCTACAAATTTATGTTACTCTGCGGATGTCATCTAAAAAAAAAAATAATCTTTGTGTGGCCTTCTTGTACAAAAATTGCAAGTTGTAAAATTGAAAAATATGTTGTTTTTGACGAAGAGATCATTAGTATTAGTTGTTGTGAGGTAGTTAGACATTGCCAAAGTAGAGCTATAGGACTTATTTTGTACATTCCAATGTGGTCCAAGCATCCTGGACACCCCTGTTAAGGGTATGGTGTAGCCTGTTTGCGTATACACCACTACAGTCAGAACGGAAGGGCCTATTTAGAAGAGGGGTTGTTAGGTAGCTAGCACTTGTTGTTTGTATATGGAGAAGCTTTTGCACAGATGCTGCTGTATACCTGTTTGTGAACTTCACTTTAAGCCACAGAGTGTTTTTGTGTGTGTGTCCAGAGAATTTACTGTTCTGAACAATAAAATTGTGGAAATGGTTAAAACTATGTTTTTGCATATCTTTATCAGTTTGAGAATTCCTATGACCCAGTATGAATTTTTTCCTGATTTGAGTAAAATCACTTACCTGCTTTACAAGTCAATTTGCTTGCATCAGGTATTCAAAATGAACCTCTTGGACATTTCGTTAACATTTATTAACATTAACGTTACATCTAGCAAGTCCTTCATCTAGCAAAACAATTTATATTTTCCGATTGTAAAATCATTATTTTGCTCATGTATAAATAAGGATTGTTCACAGGTAAAATTCATACAGTGGTATATAAAAACAAGGAACTCTTTGACAAAAGTACTAAAAATGAAATGTAACACTTATAACGTTAACTAACAAACTTCCCAAAATTCACCTGTTAAACATGTTTTTTTTTCAACCTTCATGAAATAGGCATATCTTTTAAAAACATTTGTGTCTTTAAGTAAATTGTTATTCTTTTCATTCTGGATGAAAGAAAACGTACCAAACCGAAGAAAAGTTTCAAGAAACTTGTAAGAAGCGCGAAACGCCTTCAAGGTACCCACTGAGACACTTGGCGCTGTCTTCCTAATCCGCGCCTGCGCACTGGGAGATAATTATATGGTACAGAAATCTCGGCATTCGGACGTATTTTTCTGAGACTCTCGCCCAAAAACTGAGAAATGGCAGGAACTGTACTGGAAAACCTCAGCTCTAGGAAGCTCTTCGCCCTCGGCGGGGTCCTACTGGTTGTGCAGATCGTGTTTTTCATGATCGGCGGACTTATAGGTGAGTGTTACCGAAGGTTTTCTCGCCTATATGCGGTGGGGTCGCGCCCGAAGTCCCGTAACAAAAACATGCGTGTGTCGCTACTGTTCCATTTTTTGTTCGCGCTCTGTTTTCTTAGTATTAAATGTCACAGCCGTGGTTTTGTGCCCCGTTCTGGTTCCCCTGAAGTTAAAGTAACAGTTTCTTTCAGAAAATAGGACGTGAAACCGCCGCTAAAGTTGTGTACGGTGCGGTTTTTCTTGGTGAAACGTGGGGAGGGGGGCGAGATATGATAATTTGCCGGCGAAAGCTCTGTGATCATTCAAGCCTTTAAAAAGAATTCTGAGGACAGGAAATTCGATGCCGGGGTCTTTGGGAACAGGAAAGGACTCACTCAAGTGTGTACTGTCCGTCCAGGTGTGCAGATCTTTCTGATAAGACGCCCTGTACTACCCGGGTTTCTTAAGGTGACAGTCCAAGACTTAGTGAAAGTGATCAAGACGGATTCAGTGAAAGTGAAGTGCAAGATAATTTGGGGAAGTGGGATTTAAAAAAGAATGATAAAATTTCCTCAGTATATTGAAACTGAGTATTTGAGGAGAAAATAACATCGTTGAACTAATGAATATAGAGATTCTGAATATATTTGTGGAAATTATAAGAATAAGTATGTCACAATTTTTAGTAGGGTAAAAAAACGAGCAAAAGAATAACAACATTATTTTGAAAACCTTTATTTTTATTAACTGAGGTTTTTCGAGATGGATACCTTCAAAATATTGAAGATGTGTTTTCATAAACACTAGGCATAGTGTTGGCATAGCTTGTATCCCTAGCACAATTGATGTTTTGTATACATTAGACATGTTTGTGTGTCAGGTTGTTTAGCATAATAAATCAGGTACTGAGCTCTCTCTAAAGAAATCACAAGTCTCTGTCGTATCCCACTATTCTGTTACAGTTGGTTCTCATCTTAAGGTGGACTGAAAGTTAAATGATACAAAAATGCTTAACAAGAGATCATCTAATGCCATATCTATAATCTACAGGTTTGTTATAAGATATGTATGATAATTCTCAACTAGAATGAAAACTGAGTCTAAGTGTACTAGCCTTGGCACTAGAGTGTAGTAACTTGGTACATAATGATACAGTTTCAGGGAGTGAGTACTGGAATACTACAATCAATTAGGTTTAAAATCAGCCTCCTTGCTACAAATTATTTATAGCAAGGAGAGGGATGGAAGGAAAACTTAGATTATAATATAATCTAAGTTTTCCTTCCAAAAAAAAAAGTTCCATCCCTCTGTTTTCATGTTGAATTCCTGAATTGTTTTTACTGTAAAATTCACAAGAACCAAAGAGACAAATTAGTGATGCCTGTAGTGATGCTCTGTCTAGTTTTTGATGAAAACCTGGCGCCATAGATAGATTGAATATGAAGACCAAATGATTGCCCTGGGACTGCTAAGCACCCCACAGAGATACATATGTACCATGTCTAATTAACACTAGTGTGATAACCTGTTATTCCCTAGCTGTCATCACCACTGGGGCATTGACAGGCACTTGTTACTGGTGGTATTGGCTGTTGTTATTGTTTGCTTGTGTTAATAGTCATGTTAATGATAAACTGTGAATAACACTAGAGATCATCAGCACTTGGCTATAAAAAGGTTGGATTTGATTGTATTTGTTTATGAAGGTTTATGTTTTCGAACATAGGCTTTGTCAAACTTGTCAATCGCGATAAGTTTATTGAACATTGATACCCTATAAAAGTGCAATATTTATGTAGTAGAAGAATAATTAGAATTGACAGGACTCATAAAATAGGATCTGAAACTTCTATACTTGTACTATAGTATAGTGTTAGCATCTTCTTGTGTGTTTATAAAGGTTGAGATGGACTTGATTATAGAGTGAATAGAGTGGTTGAAACACACAAGAAAAACTAATTTTTCAGTACATGTACTAGTAACACACTGACTAGTAGCATTTAGTTTTTCTCAACAGTCATTTTTCTCAGTTATGAGTCATCGATACTTGCTAAAGCTGAGTGAAAAGTCAGATGTCAAACAAACTTGAAAACGGACCCAGACAAAAACCCCAAGGCAAATAATTTGTGGTACAACTGAATCAGCAGTGTTCCGCTGCTACCACGGTTGACTCACCATGTCACAAGTCTGAAATGTCATTATTCAAATTTGAGCATTTGTAAATTAGGTCTGTTTGGTTGTCCTAAGAGGATTTAAAAGGGGATTTTCAACCTCCTTGTTTGGCCACAGCAGTCTGAGCTATTTTTATACTCAGTAGTAAAGAAGAACCATTGTACAATTGCAATGCATTTACTGTTTCTGGTCTCATACTGTAAAATGTTTTGTCAATCTATGATTATTTTCACATAGATGATCATCTACTACTTTTTGTGAATCGAGACACTGTTAAACAATAATTTTTTGGGGCCTAATTTTTCTCCAGATCCTTCCTATATTTATTAGGAGAGCTGGTCTGCTTTATATTATAATAATAGACAGTGTAACATCTGTGTGTGTTTGTATATAAGAACCTACATGGTTTGTACATGATTCTTCAATCCCTCACATAGATTAAAATCTGCAGCAACCTCTCAAGGGACATGAAGAAAATAGCTACAGTAGACAGGTGGTCTCTTAATGCTTGTGTCAATAGAGAAAAAATAATCTAAAGGACCACCAAACACTGAAACAGTGGCCACGTTGGACAGGTGGTCCTTATGTAGACGTGGTCATTACTTAGGTTTCATTGTACTGTGAGGATAAAATATGGGGCCCGCATACCCTTTTCCGTAGAGCATAATCGGCCGTTTCAATTCTACGTAGATCGTAGACGGACCGCTCTAATTCAACGTAGAGCATTATAATTCTCTGTTTTATTTTACATAAGGCTTTGGAGCTACCCGGAATTTATCATAGAGTGTAATGGGGGAGGCTTCTTGAATTCAGCGTATTACGTAGCCGGCTCTCAAAATTTAGCGTAGAGCGTTGTCGCCCCCCCCCC